AATTCAGTGCTGTAGATGGGCAAGTCCATGTACGGATTGATAGCTATCAAAATAACCCCTGAAATAAAGCAGCTTTTGCGTCACTTTTCAGGCAAAATGAGTATAAGGTGCATGTGTAAATGAAACGACACAAATAGGTATATAGAGAGTTAAGTAAAATAAATGACTAACTGATGATGACGGCAAATAAGCTTGAATTTGCCGGGCCACTACTTTGTCACCGACAGGCATTTCCGCCAGTCGGTTTAATCACTGCGCCAACTTGCCCGGCCACTGATTGGCGGACGCGTACACATCTACGCACGACTTTCGGTCAACCAATCAGAGGCGTCCATGTATCAGTGAATTGACGAGTGCTTTGGTACAGTTTTCTATCTATGAATTTGACAATGTCCTCCATAATACAGACAAAAAAGCACGCCACATTTCACTCATTCTATTTTTTCTGTCGTACGTCATCGTACTAACTCTCACAAAAAAAGACAGCGGCTATCTTTTTTCAGGGCTTTTTGGTGTCACAACATTAGCAGCCTACTCCCCTTTACATTTAAGCACAATTTACATCATCTCGCGATTTGACTGGATGCCATGACGTAGGTTCTAGTATAGATGCTGATGATTGGTTCTTTGGAATATGAATGAGTCACTATGCATGCAGATTTAAAAAAATCAAACATCGACCCTAATGTACTTGATAAGGCTACTTTAGCTTTTTAGTTTCCTCAGAAATTAACTTGTAGCTCAGAGTAGATCATTATACACAATGGTCTAAAAATGAAGACCGAAATCTGCTATTAATATCGGTGCCGAAGTTCATCAGCCATTGCGGAAAAACGGGGTTATATTCAAAAACTATTATTGGGCAGTCAGTAGTATACCCTACGTATGCTGATCTAGTCCAAGTAAGAAAGTAATTTCTTAGGAAAGTTAAAAGTGTAATTATTAAGAGGGTTTGGCAGAATTGCATAATACAGTTGAACCACTTCTGGAAAATTCGTGGCCAGGAAGGCTTTAGTACAGCCAACGCTCTACCCATTGAGCTACGAAGGCACGCCTAAGGTCTTGCATTTAATCAAACCTGCCCAGCCTACTGCACGTATGGAATCCACCAATACCGACACAGTAAACTGACTGCTCAGGCAGGATTTCCTAAGCAATCACCTAGAGTCCACCAAAATGACTACTGGGCTCACTCAACTAGAAGGAGAGTTTGGCAGGTTTGAATAATTCAGTGGACCCATTTATTTAAAATGTGTGGCCTCGGCGAGATTGGAGCCCACAAAGACCACGAATTTTTCACAGATGGGTCAACTAAAAAGTGTAAATTTTCAAAACTGGAGTATCTAGTAGAAAGCACATAGGTGAACCGAAACCCCCGCAGCTGTCTTATGTCCCGGTAGAATATGAGAGAAACGCGTATATTCAGCACCCTCGCTGTAAGTATAATCAATAATGATTGTAATAAAACAGTTTGCTTTCCAGCAGACGCTTTAGAAGACAGTACAAATGATTTAAGAAAGACAACAGAGAAACGGGGTTAGTCAACTACTCTCCTATCGAACTGGAAAATCGGCATCACAAGAATTTTAATTCGGTGGAAGAAGAACTTTGGGAAATGGTGGTTTATTGTATGGATTTTCGATACCGGCTCACCAGGTCGTCGTCAGACAGCTGAGAATTGTACGAAACAGTTAATTAAAAATGATGGCTAACAGAAGCATATCTAGTCAGAAGGACATTACCAACTTATATATAAGCTTCTGTTAGCCATCATTTTGGATTGACTGTTTCGTACATCCCCATCCGTCTGACAACGACCTAGTGTGCCAGTGTCGAAAATTCATACGATAAACCACCATTTCCCAAAGTACTTCTTTTAACGACTCTCTTATCGTTTTAACTTAGACGATATTTCCAACGGTTCTGCCGTCCAGAGGACGAAACGAATTATGGTGTTCAGAGCGAGTTACTTACAGCGGAGCAGTTACAAGAGCAT